CATAAGCTTTCCATTTGTCGGTAGGCAACGACTCTTACCTTCTGTCGTTACAGTGGAATCCAACAGGTCGGGTGTGAAGATAAGCACTCCAAAATTACATTGGCTCATGGTCACGTTAAGATCTCGAATTGATGGAAGTTAGAATTCATGGATCATTGAAAATTTTATCCCAAGTGGCTGTATGGCCAACAGGCTTCGCCTTGTAACTTGAAGTCCCTGAGTTTAATCCCTGGTAGTGTTGTGAGTGCGTACTCCTCAAGAGTCTCGAACTAAGACGGCATAAGTTTTGGGACTCATCATCAGTACGCACACACTCCACAGGGGGTTCCAGCCCAGGACCTACCAGTTACAATTGAGCCACTGGGTCCCGACTCCTTAGTGGCCAGCCCATGAATTCTAACTTCTACCAATTCATGAGGCATTTAGCGCCACCACCAACTAATGTCATCGGTGGGAACATCCATCCTCACACTTGACATCTGGATGGACCTCATTGGACACGACTTCTCACTAGAACTCCAGGAAACTCCGTCCTGTGGCTAGTCGTCACTAGATTGTACACTGCTCAGACTAATTTTCTATAGTTGGTTTGTAACGATTAGATTTGTGTTTTTACAAGTTGATGAAACAGCTGTCCAGTACTTCCTGTGGCTGGTTTTCAATGGTTCTCTAACTGACATCAATCCGTGATCAGCTCGTGAAAACAAAACTAATCCCTACAAACCAACTATAGAAAGCTTCTCAATTTTATTATTTGTGGTGTTGAAATATGTACAATGTTGAAGTCCCACTTTGTATAAACATTATTTTTTGGAATATGATCATTATTATTAGTAGTAGTGGTACTCAAAATATATACAGATTTGTTTTATATCAACTTTAAGACTGACTTTTTCAGATATCATGATAAATGACTATTTCATCTCTCACAAATATGACAACTGATATTGTGGTTAAGAGCTCAAGGTACCTGCGGATTAGAAGAAAGGCTACAACTATTCGAACTGCTAAAGAAAGGAAACTTAAGTCACTGCAAGAACTGGCGCGGAATTATGCTCCTGTCCATCCCAAGCAAAATACTGAGCCGCATCATCCTGGAGAGAATCAAACAAGCCCTGGATGAAAAACTTCGACCGGAACAAGCTGGATTCAGGAGAAACAAGTCATGTATTGATCAGATCGCCACACTACGGATCATCATTGAACAAAGTTTGGAATGGCAGTAACCTCTCTATCTCAACTTCATCGACTTTGAAAAGGCCTTCGACAGCGTCGATCGAGAGGTGATTTGGCAACTACTTCGCTACTACGGGGTGCCGCCGACAATTATACATCTCATCCAACAGTTGTATGACAACGCTGCATGCCAAGTAATACACAACGGGAAACTCACGGAATCCTTCGAAGTGAAGACGGGAGTAAGACAAACTGGCTGGTTGCCTACTATCTCCAATGATTATCCTGAATGAGAACGGTAGACTAGATAATGCGACAGACAGCGGGTAGTGAGGAAACAGGCATAAAATGGACCCACACAAGGAAAAACTTGAAGGATCTGGACTTCCCCCTTGATGCATGTCTAATTTCCGACAAACTGGAAGATTTGCAAGTTAAAAGCAACAAGTTGGCGGAAGAAGCATCAAAGATAAGACTCCAGGTGAACATAGAGAAAACAGAGGTGATGAAGATTCCTGACCAACAGCAACAACAACCACAACAACAGATAACGATCAGCATAAATAGGAGAAATCTGAAAAAAGCAACCTACTTCACCTACCGACCTACCTGGGAAGCATGGTTTCAGCTACAAGCGGACGGAACTGAAGAGGATATCAAAGGGAAGGTTGGGAAAGGTAGGCAAGCTTTCATTTCTCTCAAGTCTGTGTGAAGATCAACACTCAGCATTCAGCGTGAAAAATAATATCCGGGTTTCCAACTCCAATCTGGATTCAGTCGGTGATATTTTATGGATCAGAGACTTGGCACGTCATGAAGAGCACCTCAAACAAACTACAAACCTTCATCAACAGCTGCCTTCGCTCAATACACAAGATCAGATGGCCGGACAGAAAAGATCAGCAACAGGAAGGGATCTCTGGCAATGAACGAACCAACCCAGCAAGAACCAGTGGTGCAACAAATATGCAGGAAGAAATGAAGTTAGATTGATCATACTCTTAGAAAACCAACAAGTGACATCACTAGACAATCCCTCAAGTGGAACCAGAACGAGAAGCGGCGAGTTGGTCGTCAGTGCGAGGATGACATGGAGGAGGTCATGTGAAGAAGAGATGAAAGCATGTGGGCAGACGTGAAGCCAGGTGAAGACTCTAGCAGAGAACCGAACGCAATGGAGACTTGTGGTTGAAGCCCTATGTTCCTCTAGGAACTAAATGAAACAATAATAATGGTCTATGCAACTGATTACTAAACATAATTAGTATTTAAAGGAAGGTTTATAAGGGACAATACAAATTTGTGTATCAGTAGGAGGGTCACTGAGTTACGAACTGCAAAAGAGAGTTCCTATTACGAGAAGAACAAAACAGGTGACGCGGAAAAAGAACAAATGATTCCTAATACAGAATAGACAGTATTATTATTATTCCCAATGCAAGACATGTCATTGTGTGTTTCGCCCTAATACACTTTATATCAGCCCTCATTAATCCTGTTTTTCTCAATATAAATTCAATATCAAAAAGTGAATACATGGGTTTATGCATACAGGGCATGTAGAAAATGATTTCGCCTAGCATTGTTTTATCTCAAAGAAAGTATCACTGTTCTAATTAATAATGCAAAAATGCATCTCAAATGAAATATAGTTCACCTTCCGTTACATTACGACATTTGATGCTCAACTTCACTTCAAATATAATTGACTTGCATTTATTATTTATGTTAAAAAGTCATACTAAATATATATTAAACTAGTTAATATTGATGCATTGAGCAACTATTTGTTTGTATTAATCACCACAATTTTTCCCCTCAGTGCGTTTAATTCAAACAAAAAGTGAACGCAATATTTGATTGGATAAAATCAAGGTCAAACAACTGGTAGTTGTTGTTCCCCCAATCACAGGATACGATGATTATTGATCAGTTACTGATTCAAAATAAGTTCAAATATTAATGCATCAGTAAATAATCAAGTGGTTTATGCCCCAATTATTAATAAATGAATAATTATCAATGAGTAGCAATTAGAAAAATCAGAAAAGTCAAATTTATTCAATTCAAAATATATATTTCGTTTAAATACATAAATAGTTTGATTGGACACTAGTAACTAGTGTGATGTGTCTAGTCCTTTGTTTGGTGCAGACTGAATTCTGTCAATCGGGATTTGCAATGTCGCCACTATTATAAGTGACTCGCCATCACGGTGCACATTGATTTGATGATATTAGATGATTAGAGGAAATTGGCAGGAAGCTCAGCGTTACCTAGGTTTCGTGCTAGTTGGCACTCGTCAGCAATGCGTATCCGCAACCTTGCAGGAACTCATGTCCCTTCTAAGATTCTAACCCGTGTCACCAAGTGATTACTGCAGTCATAGTCGTAGACCAGGCGGCGATAGGTTGGGTGATATACGATCAATAACTTTAAAAGCTTTGTTCCAGTCGATTTGATGTCCAGTATCGACGACATGAGCTAGTATTAATGAGCTGCATATAGCTTTATTCGGACCTTTGCGAAACCAAGATTCGAAGTGTTCAGAAATTAGACGATGAGCTTGCCTGATAGTACGTCTTAAGTAACTAGCTCCGCATGGGTAGTTAAGCTGGTAAATACCCATGGAAGAGGCGAAACATGGTAGTCTATCCTTATTTTGTGAACTAAGTATTGGTTGGTTAGTGAACATACGGCATAGCTTAGCTGCACTGAAAGTCCTTTTGAATGCCCTTTTCAGACGTTGTGATAAGATCTCGCTAGTGACATAATCCTTCAATTTTAATCTTAGGAAGACTGATTTTTCAGGGAATAGTCAGCACCTTCGACTTTTTAGTTTCTGAGTTCACGTGTTTGTTCACGAATTTAGTTAGACATCCGTTTCTACTTAGTAGATCGCGAATATTGCCGAGTTCTTCGTTCAGAGTTTCATTTAAACATATAACTCTTAGCAGATTACGTTTGTATTATAGAGGAACAAAGCTCAGGAAGTGAGTATATCTTGTCCAGTGGAAGTAGGGTTTTCTATGCAAACGTCTACCTATGGTTCCGTCTGTTCATTGAGTCATTAAGACGCCGTTAAGACAGAGTCTTTTTTTTCTTGTTCTTTTTTAGTGAAGCTTATACCAGGATGTGGTCTGTTGAATTTTTCCAATATGTCCTTAGCGTCACTTTCCTTCCTCACAGCTCTGAATGTATCATCGGCATTTTTTTTAAATTTTATTATAGCTTGATTCCACACCGTATTTTTGGTACAAGTATGAAATTTTCAGCATGTGATATCCGTAGCCCAAATTTAGCAGGCCGACCATAGATGTCAGGTGTGCGTCAGCCGAGGATCGAACCCCGAGCCATGTGCATCGTCGGCGAGCGTCCTAATCGCTATACCACCGACGCACCCACTAGGGATGTAAAAGAATAAAAAAACAAAAAAACATATCGGCCATAGAAATCAAGATTATATATTACATCATTAAGAGGACCATTCTCTAGTTTTGCCAGAAAGCATGGGAAATGGGAACTGATTGGACACACGCAGAAGAAACCTTCAAGTGGCATTATGAGCCAAACAAACTCTCGTGTGGAACCCGAACAGGAAACTGCGAGTTGGGTGTTACTTCGGGGGTGTCATGGAGGAGAACTTGTAGAGAGAAAACAAAAGATCGTGGCACCAGCTAAAAATACTACAGGGAATGCCGATGTTCTGCGGAGGCCCTATGTCACAGTCAGAACCCAAGAGAATCATAATAAAAAAATTAATCAGACATGCTAAATAAATGGAATACTAATTATTATTATCATTATCATTATTATTATCTCACCTTGATAGTTGGCGCAGTCTCAAGTTTCTTTGTCCACAGTGTAAACTGGATCATAACGCTTAGACCAAACTCATTCCCAGAGGACCATTCAAATACATATTCCGTGTCTGGAATCAAGCCTTTCACAGGGATAACCGCCGTCTGTGGTTGTGCACTAATCGATGTGAGTATAGTTTTATCCAGCGGGTCATTATTATTCGCTGGTGATGCTGACGGTTGTCCTTCTGAATCCAGGTAGACGGATAGACTAGCCAGAGTCGAGGATAAGTGGAATGTCTGTAACAACAGAAATAAATATATGCTGTGGAATATAATACATAAGATCATAGGGAAAAAAGACTGCAGCAACAAAGTCTTTAACTACACCGTACATTGCAAAATGGTTGGCTGAACTCCTACAGCCTGTTAGAGAACAAATTTCAAAATACTGTCTTCGAGAAAAGTTTGAATTCGTCGACTGTATCAAAGATGTGAAAGTGGGCGACATTATTTCACTATTATTATTATTGTTTCCTTTAATTCCTAGAGGAAAATAGGGCTTCAGCCGCCCACGTCTCCATTGCGTTCGGTTCTCTGCTAGAGTCTTCACCTGGCTCAAAGTCTGCCCATATGCTTTCATCTCCTATTCGCAAGACCTCCTCCAAGTCACCCTTGCAATGACGACCAACTCGCCGCTTTCTGTTCGGGTTCCACTCGAGCAATTGCTTGTCTAGTGATGTCACTTGATGGTTTCCTCAGAGTATGGCCAATCCATCTCCATTTCTTCCTGCATATTTATTTCACAATCGGTTCCTGCTGGGTTGGTTCGCTCCCAGAGATCTCTGCCGCTGATCCTTTCTGGCCATCTGATCTTGAGTATTGAGCGAAGACAACTGTCAATGAAGGTCTGTAGTTCGTTTGATGTGCTCTTTATGACGCGCCAAGTCTCTGATCCGTATAGAGTACAACTGACTTCACATTGGAGTTGAAAATCCGGATCTTATTTTTCATGCTGACTAGTGCTGTTGACCTCCACACAGACTTGAGACTAGTGAAAGCTTGTCCTGCTTTTCCGATTCTTGCTTCGATATCCTCGTCATTTCCGCCTGTAGTTGAAACGATACTTCCCAGGTAGGTGAAAGAGGTTGTTTCTTTCAGGTTCCTCCCATTTATGCTGATTGTTTTCTGTTGGTTGTTGTTGCTGTTGGTGGTGTTGCCCAGGAATCTTCATCACCTCTGTTTCCTCTATGTTCACCTGAAGTCCTATCTTTGATGCTTCTTCTGCTAACTTGTTGATTTTCGCTTGCATATCTTCCAGTTTGTGGGAAATCAGACATATATCATCGGCGAAGTCCAGATCCTCCAAGTTCTCTTTTGTGTGAGTCCATTTTATGCCTGTTTCCTCGAAAGTGGGCGACAACTGTATGATATCACTCGATGTAGAATCTCTCTTCATAAATATCCCAATTACGGAAACAATTTGTTTCGTATGCAAGTACTTGGAAGATAACGACTTGAATATTGGAATACCCACACTCAAGTTAAAAGAACTTCTACTTAGATACCCTTTGAACGTTCAATTCACATTTAGTAATACTATTTATAGACAGCAAAATGGTGTGGCAGCGGGTTCACCTTTAGGCCCGTGGTAAGTTTGGAAAATGGTCGAAACCGACAATCGACAACTTCTCTCTGTACAAAAAGTACGTCATCTGGGATAACAAATATGACCTGAATAATGTCCAACAATTTTTTAATAGCTGACACCCAGCCATTAAATTTACAAGTGAAGCAAAAACCGGAGAGACAATCTCACTTCTGGATGTCAGATTAACAAAGAAGACTGATGGAACTCTAAAAAGATCAATATATCGTAAGACTACGTGGAAAGGCCAGCTGACAAACGTTCACGCTTGGGTAACCATTAATCGCAAGCGGAACCTGATAATATCCCTTGCGACTAGAATCTTCAGAATATGCAGTCCCGAATCAGTAGAAGAGATGATCACTCTTTATGAGGAAGACACTACTTGAGAATGGCTAACCACCACGCTTTATAGATAAACACATAAAGCCCATAATTTTAACAAAGAACAACCCATCTCTGTGCCGAAGAAGATGCTATACATGAATGTGGCGTTCAAAGGCGACCTTCTGACCGACAACATAAAGAGAAGAATATCTAACGCCCTGAAAAGAATATTACTGTATAACAAACACACTGTGTGATTTATCAAAATAAAATCTTATCCATATAATGGAGTTATACTCTACCACCACAGTGCCCAAGTTTTATTACTTATATTAACTGACTTGGAATTCGATTTCTGTCGGGTGGTTTATTATTTATTGTCGTTCGCATATATTTGACCTATAATATAATAACGGGTCTGTTAATCAATCACTGATTCGTCTGATTACCAGTTGAACTGGCCTCCCTAGTTGTTTACATTGTATCAATATGAAAGAATAAATGTCATGTCTTTTCACTGTTGGCTAGTTTATGTTCTTGAAGTCAGAGTCTACAGGGGAATATCCACTTTGACTAATATAGTGATTCTTTTGTTGTTGGGTGGATCTTTCATTCTGTATAGTATTCAATGAAATAGTGTTGTGTTGGCTTGTTTGAGAAGGGTTTTAGTATACCAGACGTTATTTGAGAAACATTCTTTATAGGTATATACGGTAGGATGAATTCTCTTGCGGTCTTTTAGAATGGTTTCTCACCTGGTAGTCACATTTGCTTTTATTCCTTCACGTTCCCCAGTGGAACATAAGGCTTCAAGCCAGAGACTTGAATTTTCTGTAGCAATGGTGATTATTTTTTACAGGATGGGGCTGCTAGCCTCATGCCCAACCTTCCCTCTTTACCAGTCTTTTAACTGGCTTAGCGAGGTAACGAAGTGCGTCGGTGGCCGGGGATTGAAGAATGTCAACAACTATTTATGTTCTATCCTCCTCCTCCTCCACAGGACTGCAGTACTGAAGTGTGTTTCAACTTAGTTGAACAACGTCTACACACACACAAGTAGTTTCGTCTGTGTACTGTTGGGGTATTGCTGTTATACTTAAGTATTTGGTCTATGCCAGTTGATTTCCCTTCTGCTTATGTTCGTTTTCACATTTTTGTTCGTGGAAGATTCATCAGATTATTGAATTGAAATGAATTTTAGATTTTCCCGTCGATTGATTGGACCGAAGTGCTCAGTCTCAGGTTGATATGTCGACTTCTTGTGCAGATGCTTCGATGATCTCTGGACATGTAATTAGAAATTAGTTGGTGGATGGTGACTACCAGTGGAATCCAAGATACGCACTTCGTAGTGAGTGATGATGTTCCCACCGGGGCTCAAACCCAGTGCCCATAGTTTCAAACGCCAAAACGTTATCCACTATACCACTTGGGCCACGATAGCCAGGTACGTTCAGTTGACGAGTCTCAAACAGGACGAAATGCGCATTATCCTAGATTCCACTGTTAGTCACCAACCACCAATTCATCAGATAAGTTCTCTTCATGTAGAAGTTTTTGCACGCTGAAGATGTTGTCTAAAAGGGCATTAAAAACTTTACAATTAAATCAACCAGTTCAGAGATTGCAACCACGATAAAATCATCCACCTGGACTGTAAATCCCCTCTGTTATTTCTTATAGTCTCTGTAGAATAACAGTGACTTCAATTATATTAAATCTTTCTAAATTTCAACTCTCAGATCAATCATTAGTTTCTCTAATGCATAGCTGAATCACTGGCTATTCTGGATCTGAAACTGGACCTTTGCATTCAACAGCACCACATACATTCACTCTCCCTACTGTGGCCAGAGTCACATTTAAGTCTAGATATTTTTTTCACGAAACTGTAGGAGGATCCATTTTTCCTGAAGAAAGTCAACAACTATTTCTGTTCTATCCTTCCCCTCCTCAGGAATGCAGTACTGAAGTGTGTTTCAACTAAGTTGAACAATGTTTAGTCCTGTCTAGTTATGTTCGTTTTCGCATTTTCGTTCGTAGATGATTCATCAGATAAGTTCAATTCATAATAGAGAAGATTTGTAGCACAAGTGGATGATTTGCAATTAGTTGTGTTCTCTGACCTGGCTGGTTTAATTACGGCTAAAGTAGGTGTCCTTTTCGAATCAGAATCCGGGAATACAAATCAGCTGTAAACAGACACGATACATATTCCTATTTCCTATTAATGCGTGCAGATAAGTATGGACATCAATTTGATTAGGATTATGTCGAAATCTTAAACAGAGGAAACACCTAAAGCAATGCCAGAGAATTCCTAGAAGCCTCGTACTCAAATGAATATGCAATTAACAAACACGTTAATATAGACCAAATCTACAAACTAATAAAAAGTAAATCATGTGACGAGAAAGTTTAAAATCCAAGTCAATATAAAATGATCAGTACAGATGTAAAGATGGTTACCAGGAGACACAATTCTATCAATCATGGAAAATTAAGACCAGTTCACTTCATGCTAGGAGATGTTGTCCAGAAGGACGACGCAAGCTCCGCAATTAAAGCAACCAGTTCAGAGAATGCAAGCACGATGAAATCATCCATCTGGACTGCAAATCTTCTCTGTTATTTCCTATCATCTATGAAGAATAACAGTGACTTAAGTTGTATTAAATCTTTTTAAATTTCAACTCTCAGACCAAATCATGAGTTTCCCTAATTCACTTTGCTGATGTAGCTCAACAGGTGCGAAACACTTGCATTGTAAAATATTTTAAAATAACATAGGAGAGGTGTAAACAGTTTATATCAACTCTATTATTCACATACCTTTGCAGGTGCAAATATAACCTTTTGCGTAACAATACGTTCTGTAGGCAGGTTATCAGTTTTCAGCTTAGGATTGGTTATACCAAAGACAATGGCTCGTGGACCAGTACATAGTACAGTTATCTGAAATAGATTGAATATGCACATGTAGATAAGGCGAGAATAATTAAAAACAAAATATTTAAAAAAAAATTAATGCTGAGTTTGAAGGTGACTCGAGAGAGATAGCTGCTATCTTAATGTGGAGGTCAGGCTTGTCAATCATATAGATGCAAAGAGTTAAAATGACTGGAACTGATGTTCCTGAAGGTCCTACTATACCAGAAAGACGGTTTGGATAATAAGTAGTGTAATAACAGAAGACAAACGCCAGGCTAAAGATCGTTTATTGAAAAAACCAACAGATATTTATAGAATTTTATGTACATTATTATTCGTTATTATTAACAAAGAAACAGCGTCTTCTGATTGGCTCTTCTCCTGCTTAAGGTTATTCTATCATTTCTTGTTGCAATTTCTTGGACAATCTGTTGATATATCTGTGAATCGTATCCTCCCACGCTAAGTCTGCTGTGATTGGCTGCTGAGTTAGTCTTTGTTCTTGTTCTTTTCTCATGACCAAGAAATGGGATGTAAACATTGACGTAAATTGCTGTCTACCAATTTTGGCTAGCAGACAGCTCTCACCACAGTAGGAGAAACAACGTAGTATCGGAAATAGTAATAACGATCTCCAGTAGACAATTTATGCAGTCTAAATGTGAGGACAAGATACCACTTGTGGTCACCACCTCAGTGTGCATTTATCAGTTTACTTGTTCTTCATGCGGAGCAAAGTATATCGGCCGTATACAACGTCAAGTCCATGAACGTATTCTGGAACACTGTTCAGCTTGGCCAGCTAGCCAGAGGAGAAAAGAAGAACAGTAGCAGCTCCATCCTCGAATACCTTGTCATCTCTGGACATTGAGCACCCCTGAATGAATGTTTCACACTGCTACACAGAGTCCCTGAATATCGCACGAAAAGAACTTCGAATATTTCATTTGTTCATAGGTGAATCATTGGCTATTCTGGATCTGAAACTGGACCTTTGCATTCAAAAGCACCACATACATCCACTCTCCCTACTGTGACCAGAGTAACGTTCTCATCATAATTTCGCTTCTTCTATTTATTATGTAATTTCACTATTATTATTGTTATTACTACTATTATTTTATTATCATTATTATTCTCATCATTCTTATTTTATTATCCCTCTATTACTGTTTATTAATAACAATTCATTTTCATACAGAGTTTATATAAAAAACACTTTATCGTCTTTCCACTAGTTCTCATCCACTCTACGCGAATATATAGACTATTCATTTTCTCACACTTGTTACGTCATGCCAACTTCTGCCCTCTTTTCTAATTTCCAATTAATTATCCTTCAAAGTTACACCTTACATTAAGTAATACGTTTTTCGAGGACAAATTTTGATTGGTCTTATATGAATACGATTTTACAGCTTATGAAAATGGATCGTTCAAAAGAAAATTTTCTTCTATACTGCTTACGTGTTTTTCTTCTGACAATTTTAATAATAAGTGAAAGGTACACAAATTAAATAAACGGAGAAACAGATAACTGTACATCTCATTCCATATTAGTTTGTTTATTACATAAATCCATGGAAAATTCCCATTGTAACATACAGAAAATCAAAACAAGTGGTGATTCAGCGAAGAGACTCTTTTCAACAACGTATTTATTATCAAGCTGTACAACAGTATATATGTGGTTTCATTAAGAAGTTATATCCAGTGAGGGAAATGAAACATAGGTGTGAATGCATAAAATAATAATAATAATATGAAATGCATTTAAAACTAAAAATGTTTGTGATTATAATCATAGTTAAATGTCAAGTGACAAAACAATTAATGTCATATTTAGAACCATTCATAAGATGAATGGAGCTTGGTACGCGTGTGTGTGCAATTATAAGATTGGTAGACAAATCGAATAAAATAAAAATGTTACGTAAGATTGTGTGAGTAACAGAATTTAAAGTTGCAAATCAGAATTGATTTACAATGACAACTGGGACAATTGAGATAATGCCGGGGACAGTTCAAAGTGAGAATAGTAATAGTAACAATTGACATTGTAATAAAGGAAAAAAAAACAAGTTGAATAGACAAAATGGAAAAATTAAAAATTGGTAGAGATAAATATGAATGGGGATTAGCATATTCTAGCATAGAGAGATTAAGACCATGAGAGTTGGAAGGGTTGAACGAAAGTTTTTCTGTGTAGAGCGATCTTGCTTTTCTGTTTCAATAGCCATAGCTTCAGCAATACAGATGAGTTGGGTACGTAATGATTTGGGTAAATTACTTTCTGCCTTGTAGATAACTTTAAAGGCGGAGGCTGTAGATAGAGATGCGGTGATCAGTATCGGCCAGATGTTCAGTGATAACGCTTCTTATTGCTTCTCTTCTACTATATGCTAAAGTATGGTAATCCCTAATCATATTTTGGCTATACCAATCTTTTCGTTTTGTGTACTCAATTTGTATACTCTTCCTTCATTACGTCAATTGTTACTATTAGTATTTTCTTGTTCCACTTGTCATTCTAAATCAATTCTTTTCTGCAACGTTAAGTTCTATGTTATCAGATTTCACACAATGTTACGTAACGTTTTTATTTTATTAGATTTGCTTACTAATCCTATAATTGCACACCTTTTTTCAAGTTCTATCCATCCTATGAATTATTCTATATATATATATATATATATATATATATATATATATATCATTAATTGCTTTGCCACTTGACATTTAACCATGATTATAATCACAAACATTTTAGTTTTAATTGCAATTCATACTATTATTATTATTTTATGCATTCACACCAATGATTCAATACCCTCACCGGATATAACTTCTTAAAAAACCATGTAAATACGATTGTAAAGCTTGGTGATAAATTCATTGAAGAGAGTCCCTTCTCTAAATCAACACTTGTTTTGCTTTCCTATTATATGTATCACACAGTGAGTGAAACAGTATTATTTACTGGATGACACAGTTTTGAACACAATTTATTGCTGTTCATCATCATATCGTCAATTATAATCACACAACTTCGAAAATTTCGTTTAGTAGTTTTCTTTATTCTCTCCTATTTGTCGTCATTGGGGTAGTAGAATTTTCTAGAAATACCGGTGAACAGGTGTTGAATCATTCCTATTACACGTATTTGCAGTTGATTCGATAAACAAAGCTTCCGTTATCAATCTCTCCCTAAACCCTGTGACATTAGATTTTAAAACTGTCATCTTATCTCATCCTGTCCTGTTGTATGATTGTGTGTGATTACATGTAATGAGTGGTGAAGCTGAACTACTCTCTAGTTTTCTTATCTTATTTGGGTCAAATAATCTAGATCTTGCTAGGTTTGTATGCTCGGCTAGTCGGACTGACTGCCCCTGTTCTACTAGTTTGACCTATGTATTTGACCTCAGTGACAATCATTGCAGGTAGGGTATTAGATAAACTAAATTGTTTTGTTTTAAAGGCTCCACAGGATTGTTCCTTTAACCAACGAAGCTTGTTTCTAAATGAGTTTGTGGGTGACTGAATGCCAGCCACCTTTATTCATGGGACCCGATTCAATGGCTTGTCCATGAATTCTAACTTTTACCAATTCGTAATTCAGCGAAACCACCAATCTATTTCATCCAAGGGAAAACCATCCTTGACTGGATGGACCTCACTGGTCACGACTTCTCATTAGAACTCCAGGAAACTCCGTCCTGTAGCAAGTCGTCACTAGCAAGCATCAGATTTTGTATAGTTGGTTTGTAACGATTAGATTTGCTTTTCACGAGTAGATCACGGATTGATACCAGTCAAGTGTGAGGATGGATTTCCCACCGATGACATTGGTTGGTGGTCACACTAAATGCCTCACGAATTGTTAGAAGTTAGAATTTATGGACTGGCCATTGTGGAGTCGGGTTCCAGTGAGTGAATGGTATGAGAGTTAATTAAACCTGATGTGTTGTTCCAAAATTTTACTTTGGGAATATTTACAAATTAACTCGTGACTTCCAAGTCAGACAGTTCAAGGAGGTAGAATTTCACAGTTTCCCATGGAAACCGAATGTAAACAGAGCGCGGTATACGATTCATTTGATATCATAACTGACATTCAAAAAACCAAGCATGATTGCACAATGTTATATGGTAAGGGGATTGATTAATGTGGGTAATTGGATACCCCCTCCACATCCACCGCCCGTGAGCTCGCTCACAAATAAGCGAAACGCTAGTTCAGTGATTATAGATATTAGTTGATACGGGCGGCACATGACTACTTATTTGAATCATTCAGTAGTATATAGCACACCGTGCGCTTATGAAATAGCCTCCTCTTTTACTGTCATTCAAATAATATTCAGCCCTAATTCTGTTAGTAAAGTACTGATGAATCAGAATTGGCATATTTAAGTCGACAGCGTGATGTGTGTATAGTTTCCTATGACAGAATTGTAACTTTTTTTATGTGTAATTTGCACGAGTCAAAAATGTCATAAATTAGATATCTGCCAAGAAAATCTGTGAGACAGATGACTGACGGATACAGATGTAGGCAGCAAAAAACAGAGAGAATTGATAATCAATACAGAAAGAGTGACTAACTGATTGACTAACGTACTGACTGAGTTTCAACATAATACCTTGCACACAAAAGTACAGCATAAAAAGGCAGAGAAAAGAGAGGAGGAATAGATTCGGCAATGAACAGAACTGTGCAGGAGGAAGGAGGTCCCAGAAGGTCCTGAGTTCAAACCTCGAGCTTCGGGTGTGTACTGCTGAGGCGGAGTCCCAAACTAGGCTGTCCAGTACTCCATGACTGGTTTTCCAATGGTTCTTTAAATGATGTCAGCTCATGGTGAAATCTTACAACCAATCAAACAAAAAATCCCATACAAAACCAATACTTGACAATTAATCTGATAATCACCAGCGACTAGCTCTATTCAGGTAGGTAGTTACCTGGATTTCTAGTGGGAAGCTGTGACCAGTAAGGGTACAGCAGGTTGAAGGTGAAGCAG